TTCTGAGAGAGAAGAGTCCCCTGCCGGATACATATGTTTTAGCTTCCTTTAAGCTGCCTTTGTGATTGAAATATTTGAATAAAAGAACTGCACAGTTAAATGACACAATGGCAGGACTCCCTAAAATCTCTTAGATCAGTTTAATTGCAAGCAAGTTACATTCTTATATAATCATGCTTGATGCACCTGAATCATTTTATCACAAAATCAAACACAACAGCCATTAATGAGAAATGAGCTGCACTTTGGAATTAAACATTTGAGTAATGTCAGAAATGGAACAAGGAAGCACAAGTGCTCCACCCACATCTATTAATGATTTCAATAACAGAACCTGGAAGCAGCTCTTTGTGTGGTACTGCAATCAAAATTGAGCCAAAAGGCCTGTGGAAAAGGGGCAAACTTCAAGGAAGGATTTTAGAAAAGCATCCATCAATGGCTTCATACCTTTGGACGGTCTGTTTTGGCATCACTCTCAACGTTTTCCATTGCAGTGAGCGTTTCAAAACCACCTACAACTCTGCAGCAGGGGAAAAAAAGCAGATGTTCAGAGTTTTAATTTATCAGGGTTATCTGGGTTGGATCCTCCCTTGTACACTAAATCCTTAGCCGTAGAAATCTTGGACAACCTTAGACCCTATCCCAAGATGCAAAACTAACAAACAAGAAAACTGGATTAGTAAATCCCATCATCATTTGGACATTTTACTTATGCCGGACAATTTTCGAATTAAAACAGATTAATCACAAGTGAAGCAAAGGTTCTCTCCTCCTGTTTGCAATTTATAGTAACTCAGAGCAGAAAAATGCACTGAAGGGCATCTCTCCTGCATGATGTACTGCTTCCCGATTCAAAACCCAAATAAACCGACTGCTGTCCATTGCTGCCTAATGCAGACTGAGGCTGTTCTGCGTTAGACTCAGACTTCAACTGAAACACAAAGCATAATGCAACAGACTAGAGCTTTAAGGTCACTACAGTGTACAGTTTCACGTTTAAAGGCAGTTTCTCCTATAGGAAATAACCACATCATCTTTTTTTTTTTTTGCAGAATTTCTGTTCAGAAACAACAGAGTTATTATATTGGTACTGCCAGCACTGTGAGCCAGGAAAAATAAAAATCCCACATTTCTCCTGCAAGGGCCTCGGAGTTTCCCCTTTCCCTTCGTCTGACACAGCAGTGTCAAGTCCTCTCCGAGAGGGTGTGTAAACCTGTCTCAGGGCATCGGGCTCCATGCGACTGGATCGCACCCAGACTCTGGAATTCCAGACCTGTAGCGCACGCACGCAGTCACCAGTTCTCACAGGGGTCTGGAACAAAGGCCCGGGCCTCTCTAAAAATCACACCCGGTTGTGAAAGAGGGTTTTTTTTCTTCTGGTAAATCATTTCAGAATGCTGCATTTGTGTGCTGGCGTACGCAATATGTTGGAAAGATTTCACCAGAAGACAATCCTGAAACCAGTAGGAGAGGTTCGTCTATGACCTTCTTTCTTTAGACCTACATTGGTACGCATGCCCGCTGCTTCAAGCGTGGATGCACGATGAGGAGGCCTTGTAGGCATCTTGAGCATTTTGGTTGTTCAATTTCGAACAATAGGGATTGGTTTTTCCTCCTGGTTAAAAGCGCTAACCCAGCCATAGGGGAAGCGATTACAAATCCGACCGTAAACAATCCCTCGAGGCCTCCTTTACCACGTTGTGATCAAGCACATGGACCTCCAAGGCAGCACATGAAGACATTCCCCTAGACCAGATCCCCTACAGTAAAATCCTCTGAAGCCTCCCCTCCCCCCTGTTCAGCTTTGTGAAGTGGTTTTGGACCTGTGCCACCGTATTGTAGCTTCTTTAATTTTTTTTAACCTTTGAACCTTTTCCTCAGTGTGATAATCCTGCATCTAGGCTGGAACGCACATGGACACAAACGCCCAGGGAACAGCAGAGCGGCCTTTCAGTCTGCTGATGTCATATCCTGTCCCCACCTGCACTTCAGGAACTACTGCAGAACATTAACAAGCAAGACACCGGCCTGGAAATGTTTGCTGTGAGCCATGTGACACCTATTATTTCTTTTATAATAAGGCACAATTGGCTGCTGACAGATGCTTACAGCAGATTACAGGAAATTAAAAATAATTACAGCTTTAGATTCAGCTTCAAACCAGCTCAGTACCAC